GCCAGGTTTCCAGCGGCGCCGTCACCGCCGTTAAGTACCGGCTCCCCGATGAGGATCTTGACGCCTTGATCTCGATCTCGTCGCAGGAGGATCTCGATAACATGATGGAGGAGTTCGATCGGTTAAATGAGACCGTGGCCGATGGATCTGCGCGGATTCGGATGTTTCTGGAATCCGCGGACTCGAGCGAGGTGATGGATTCTGGCCATGGCGAGAGTTATATCGACGCCGTGAACGGAATTGATCTCAGGAGAAAGGAAGGTATGAGTCCTTCGGTCCTTTCTACTAGTTTTGGCTCCATTGATCAAGATCCGTCGAGGTTGAGGTTTTCCCCTGACGAAACCCTAGTTTCTCGTCGGTTGAATGGTAATTTTGTTAATATTCTGGGTTCTGAGACTTATGGCTGTCCTCTTTTACTTAATGCTGCTTCTATGGTCTCGGTTGGGGATAATTTTAGACCGGTACAGGATAAAATGGAGCCTTTAGCTGTTGTTGAGAGTAATTTGAAGTCTGATAAGCGAAAGGTTGAGGGCTTTGTGGAGGATAACCTCTGTAGATATGATCAGAATCAGAATGATAATAATGGCACTGGTGGTAATGGTAATAATAACAATAGTAAGAGTTTACATCATCAGCCTTTAAGCGAGATGCCTCCACTGCACCCAATTCATATTCAGCAAATGCCTAGCATGATTTTTCGGACAGTGAGATTGAATGATTGTCAAATGAGTCAGGAACCTTTATTACATGCACATGCTAATACTCTAGTAAATGAGCAGAGAAATGGGAATGGGTTAGGAAGTAATGCCGTTCATGAGACTAGGACAGTGCTCCAGAGCTATCATTCTGAGGACCCAATGAGGCTGCAGGCTTCACTGAAGCCAGAGAACTTGGTGGAGACCAAAGTCGAGACAGCTACTGTTGCAGGTAATCTGTCATCACCTCGTCGCGAGAATGGGAGGGTTATTCATCCGAATGTAGAAGCTTTAGATCATGCGAAGGTTTCACATCAAGTGGGAGTAATGGGAGTGGCTGACCCAACTCGGAGGCATTCTCCACCCAAGATTGTTAATGGAGTCGCGGCGGATAGTGTACCTAAGGTCGAGACATTACCCACAGAGAGTCAGTTTGGAACCAATCGGTTCACTCAAGATACATTGCATCCCCATGAGAAAGAGAGCGTAGTGCATCCAAACATAGAAGTTCTTGATTCTGCAAAAGTTTTGATTCCCCATAACACAGTTAGTGGAACCTTGACAAAAAACATGGTGGAACCCAAAGTCGACAACATGGCTGCTTCATCTGAGTTGGTGGCCCATGGATACCCCCAAGTTCTCAAACC